GTGGGACGGGGTGACCCACAGAGGGCCCTGCCAACCCCGACCATGCTGGGATTCTGTGATTTTTTTTGAAGTATGGAGAACAATTTCGAACAGCCAAGCCGTGTTTTCCGGACTAAAGCACCTGACACCAAGAAGGTGGAGGACAGAAAAGCCACGAGCAGACATCGAACATCTGCCCAGCGCTAGTCTTCCAGCCGTTACCTCTCGAGCCCAGTGAGGTGTTTTAAGACACGGACAGGATTGTTATCTCCTCTGTTTACCGACACTGCAGTGCTAAGGAATTTGCAATTTCTATGTAAATTAGCTTTCCCAGCTCATTTGCAGAAGCTCCACGCACCAAGTGACTCCCCCTGCGACCGCAGGCTCTGAAGCTGCGAACCTGCCGTGCCCGGGCGTTGGGGCCGTGCCCCTCTGCCCCACCGAGCCCGGCATGGGGGTCACCCCTCCCAGCTCACCACCGCTTCCAGGAGAGGAAGGGGTGATGCCATTGAGGTGTGCCAGCTTGCAGCCGTGGCCATGCAAGCGCTCGCTGGCCACGCTGTCCCTTGAAGGACACGGAAACGGCGTCTCCAGCCCCACGCCAACAGGGCAACGCTCTACCAGCAGCTGGGGCTTGTGTCAGGTGGCAGAGTAAATAGAAGGACAGAATAAGGTGTGTTCTTATCAGGCCAACAGACAGCTTATGAACACATCTGTGCAGCAAGGGGAGCACCAACTACAATATGCAGAATATAAAGTTCAAAATACAGCATGAAAGCACCCAAGTTTACCCGCCTGAGATCTCCCAAACTCCTTCACTTGCCAAATATCTGCTTATTCCCCCACACAGAAGCTCAGCAGTGCCAAGGCTTCTGCTAGGATGAACACTTCTCACCCCAAGCTGCAGCCCCACCACACTTGTGCTTCCATCCACCCGAAACGGGCAGCGGCAAAGCCCACGCGCGGAGCGGCTGCAGAGACAAAGGCCACAAAGTTGGGTACTAACATGGGAAATGTTTTCTTCCAGTTCTTCAACCCTTTCCAGGGCTGCGTTCTTGGTCTCAGCATCCTCCAGTAACGCTCCCACATCGAAAACGTTATCCAGGTAAGCCTGAATCTGCACCTGCAGTTTGTCGCTCTCCGTGTGCTTCAGTTTCTGCAAATCCAAGAAGACCAGGGCGTCAGTCCGCGCCGGCAGCCCTTCGCAGCACGAGGCCCACAGGCACCGAACGCCGTGGGAGAGCGGTGGGAGCTGGGGCCACCTCCTTGCCCAGGGAAACACGTGGAACATGTGACTGGAGCATCTCCCCTACGAGGAGAGGCTGAGGGAGCTGGGCTTGTTCAGCCTGGAGAAGAGAAGGCTGAGAGGGGACCTTAGAAATGCCTCTAAATATCTGCAGGGTGGGGGTCAGGAGGACGGGGCCAGACTCTTTCCAGTGGTGCCCAGCGACAGAACAAGGGGCAATGGGCACAAACTGAAGCCGAGGAAGTTCCAGCTGAAGATGAGGAAGAACTTCTTCCCTCTGAGGGTGACGGAGCCCTGGCCCAGGCTGCCCAGGGGGCTGGGTGACCCACAGAGGTCCCTTCCAACCCCTACCATTCTGTGATTCTGTGATTCTGTGGCATTTGAACGTTAGCTGGGGTCAGAAGTGATAAACAGTCATTCTTTAAGACCAAACATCCAGAGCTGTCACATAAAGCTCAGCAGCATCTTATCTTCTGTTACCACAGAGGATACTACTGCTTTCCTCCACGCCTGCTCCTTGGCCGTGGCAAGCTCTGAACCCACCACCCAGCCCCGCGGCCAGCAGGCAGGAGGTTCAAGGCTTGGCTGGGCAGCGGTGGCGTGGAGGAACATGGCGTGGACCCTCCACGGCCACGGGTGGTCCCAGCCCCAGCCCCACGCAGAGCCCAGCCCCACGCAGAGCGCAGACCCACGCTGCCGGGCGCGGAGACCCGGCTGCTACTCACGTCCAGGTACTCGTCCAGGCCGAGCTTGGTAAATTCGTACTGCAGGTGGACTCTGAAGTTCATGTCCTCCACCGAGTGGACGACGATGTTGATGAACTGCATGCAGGCCACCTGCAAGGAGAAACGCCGCACGTGAGATGAGGCGACGGCACGGTCCCGGGCGCAGGGTGGGAGCGGGCACGCCGGGGTCCGTGGGTGAGACACAGCAAACGACCACGTTTCCTATGAAAGGAAGCCACCATCTGCTCCCCTGCAGCTTTTTTCCAAGGAGCCGGCGCTGGATTTGGGTTTGCGGAGCGTCTGTCTGCTGTGATAAAAGCAAGCGTGGGCTCCAGAAATTAAGTCATGTCTGGAGCGTCCACCTCGACTGCGTGCCGTGAACAGAAACGCTTTCCCCGCCAGCTCGCACGGCCAGACATCGCACAAGCACGCAAGCTCTTAAGAAAACAACGCTGCTCCTGCAACGGGCTGTAAAAGTGAGATTAATTGTGCAGCTGGAACCCCCCCGCCTCGGAAACGGGGCTGTCACAGAAGGGGCTCTGTCCTTTGCAGAAAGCGCGTGTCCAAAGCTGTGGCGTGGTAACAGAACAAGGAGTTGGCACCCGACCACGTCCCAGCGCGGCGAAGGACAGGGCAAGGCTCTCGAGCGGTGCCCGCAGAGCGGCAGGAATCGGGGCACACACACCCCAGAAGGTCTGAACGCCCGGCACGGCCAAACCCTGCTCTGCACCAGCATCCCCAGCCCTCTCTCAGCTCGCGGATGACCACGTCTGTCGCTGCTTTAGGAGAGGGTTGGCCAAGTCCTTGCTGGGTTACCCCAGGGCAGAGGTTCATCCCCCCAGCAACGCCGTAGCAGGGGTAATACCAGCTTCTCAACATCTGCTGAGATGCTTCCCAGGCTTCCAGAATGAACCCGAGGAGACAATATCGAATCAAGCTGATTTTACCCTCCAGGAGAAGACCTCCCATCCCTGGGTCGTTCTGTGGGAAGAAAGAACCGAAGGCCACTCTCTGGACCACCAGTGTGCTATGGAAATTGGCCAATTCTCTGTGACCCACTATAGGGCCCCGGAGGATAAACTCAGGAGCAGGACCTGCTGCATGGTGACCTCTGACTCCAGGCCTGGCTGGGATGCCCCGGGCTGCTCCCTCCAGCTGGAGCTCCCAGCAGCTGCTGAGCTGCCATAAAACCTTTCCCAGCCAAACTGGCCAGTGCTGCCCAGCTTCGGAGTGGCCAGCAGGACGAGGGAGGTTCTCCTTCCCCTCTACACTGCCCTAGGGAGGCCTCATCTAGAGTACTGTGTCCAGTTCTGGGCTCCCCAGTTCCAGAAAGATGAAGAGATACTGGAGAGAGTCCAG